GGACGAGTCACTTTTCTTAGTTTATGAAATTCGTGAGTGTTTAATATGGGTAAAGAGTGGGTCGTATTACCAGGAAACGTCCAGGTGCACCTCGTGCGAACTCAATGGGGATAGCTTTAAAAGGGTGATGATAAGCTTGATGTTGTACTCACACCGCAAACCTAATGTGAATGACAGTAGAGAACCAATTTTCAAGAAATAGATGGTCGCAACAGAAAGTAAAATATTGACCAAAGAGATAAATTTAGCTAGTTGTGACATCATAAGGCGAAAATCAATTTCCTTAAAACATTCATAGAATATAATGCCAGTGAGATAACCTTCCATAGTCCTGTGTTCTCAAACTTCAATAGTTCATGGTTAACAGTGTAAAATTATCTCTCGCTCTTCATGGTATAATTTGGGTATATATTTGGCACGATATAAGAATTCTGTTATGGTGAACTATTTTCTTCTTCATTTTCCTTAGATATCTATATTGCACCGTGCTACTACTATCCTAATCGTGCGGGAACATCTGATCGACCCTCATTCATGATTGGAGTTGAACTGAAAACGGGAGAAAAACCACCGGAACATTGGACGAAACGCAGTACCGCTTTGCTTATGAGCCTAGATACATGAGTACCATGAGCAAGATACATGTAGAAGGGATATGGGTGTTCAGGTGCAAACACGAGCCTTCAAAGCGATCCCTGTGATTTATGGTCTTCAAATATCGGACATTCGAGAGAAACCAGTTCGGCAGTTATTTTTGTTCAACTTTCCTACTGCATATCGCGTCATGCACACACACGCACACATCTATTACAACATCCAAACCTGAGCACTTTGGTACGGTTAAACCGATTTTCAAGCATTGTTGAATTTCCTGTTGTTGCACAGTTGTTAGGTATCGACAATATGATACTAGCTCTCCGAACTTCACATAACAACAGAATCGACAACAATAAAGGAGAATGAGGACTGATTATTAATTTTTTTCATTTCAATTCAAACTAGCGATTCCACACGTTGATNCACGTTGATATCGTGACCAGAAAGGTATACACAGTGCCATCAATGAGTACAAGTGCTCGTCCATGAAACGGTGGCACCAATCTGGTTTCCGATTTTCATCTGTGGGTAGCCCCCATACTAGGTACTCAGAAAATCAGCGCATACCGCAGAAGGAGCTGAAAGCTTCAAAAAAGTAGGGAAAAAGTATGTTTCGGTAAAATCTGAAGGTCTCGTTTGGTTCCGTGTAAAAATACGAAGAACGAACTAATAATAGTTTAAAGTATCTAAAATTAGGGTTTTTTGTTCGAATGTTGCTGAAATACACCGCATAGTAGTATATTAGTTGAAACCGGAGTGGGTTAATGTTGGTGCCAGTATCGGCCTATGCTTCGAGCTGTAGGGTGATAAACAGAGG